TTTCTTTCTTTTCTTACAGTCAATCAGCCCTTTGGTAGCAGTAGTTGATCCTATATTCTAGAGCAGCGGTTCTCGACCTGTGGATTGCGACTCCCTTTGGGGGTCGAATGACCCTTTCACAGGAGTTGCCTAAATGCATCCTGCATATCAGATATTTACATTATAATTCATAACAGTAGCAAAATTACAGTTATGAAGTAGCAACAAAAATAATTTTATGATTGGGGGGGTCACCACAACAAGAGGAACCATATTAAAGGGTCGTGGCATTAGGAATGTTGAGAACTGTTCTAGAGCCTAGGTTTCCTGGCATTCCCTGCCCAAGAACAGCATTTATACCTGAGCACAGGGGTCATGCTCTAGGGCTCTTGCTGGCCACTCATGCCTTACCAGTGGTTCTCAACCTTCCTAATGCCGAGAACCTTTAATACAGTTCCTGTGGGTTGCGACCCACAGGCTGAGAACCGCTGCCTTAAGCCATGAGCACCCACTGAGGTTTGAGGTCCTAGCTAACAACGTCCTGATGCTACCTTTCTCCTATCCCAGAGACCCAGGGTTGTGCATTTACTATATTTACAGATGGGTTATAAACTGGTCCAGCAGAACCCTTTGCCTCCCCTACTTCCCTTGGCCAGTGGGACTCTAAGATTTGCTTAATAAAAAGACGTCCTGTAAAACTAAGCTGCATAGAAGCAGGGTGGGTCCCTAGAGAGAGCTCCAGGCTGATATGGAGAAGGCTTGAGTTCTGTGTCCCCCACCAGGGGCTTGAACCTTCTAAATACACAAGGAGGTCTTCACACACTCATATCACTGGACTGCATTTCAATATGCTAAAAAGATTGATGCTGCTTCTACAGACCATGCTGCCCTAGTCAGGTCACCACTCTGTGCCTCAGTTACTATAAAATGTGGCCAGTAATCAGGGTCTGCTGTCTCCCCTGGGATAAGAATGAGATGCACATGTGAAATCTCTTTGAAAAGAATGTAAAGAGTCGGCCCAATTTTTAGTTTCCTCATTCTTATCGATTTCTTCTTTATTGTCTTGGCAAACAAACCATTAGATACTCCATTTTGTTCATCTCACAGATAAAAAGGTAGAGAGGTAAGTGAAGACCATCCTTGCTTAAAAAACAGGAGCAATCACTACCGGGTGAGTCTGATGGAGCTGTAGAAGCTGGGTCCTAGGCTTCCCAGTTTGGTCTCCTTGCCCCTCCTGCCTGTTACTTTTTCATATTCCATATCAAAGTCTCAATCTTTCTTTCAAGTCCTATGTAGTCTGGGCTCTGATCATCCGGGGACTGCACAAGTCTTATTAATATTAAAGGTGAGGGTTTTCTCAGCCTACTTCCCTTCATTTCTAAATCAGTCTTGGAAAGAAGAGAGCAAAAGCAGAATTCGGAGGACATCTATACCCCAGAAGGAATGCATTCTGGATTGTTGCAAATTTGGGCCCCCTTTGGCAACTTTAATGCTTGTGCTGAGTGAAGTGTGGACAGGTAACTGATTAGCTGCAGAACTCTGTGACTGTTAGAGGGTTTTAATTTCAGGGTCAGGCTGAAATTGACACTTTGTTCTTGCTGCGTACCCCTGCCAAATACTAGGAGTTCAAGACACCCAGGATGTACATTTTTCCTCATTTCAGATTCTAAGTCACTGATTTGCTGATAATAACTGTATCTAGCTGTATTCATGAGAAAAACAGCTATAAGTGAAAACTTTTGCAGCCAAAATTGGATTTTCCTGTTGGCCTCATCACTTCAACCTGTTTTTACTTCATTTCTAATTACTTTGCCACTTTGCCCTTTTGTAAGGGCCCTCTGAGGTCAGGTCTCCATTTCTCAAGCTTCTAACTGAAATATTCTCTAAATAAACCCTTAAATGACCAATGACTTAAATGACCTGATGTCTTAGAGAAGAAAAAGATGACACACACATATATATATATATATATATATATATTTATTTGCAGTTTTTGGCCGGGGCCAGGTTTGAACCTGCTACCTCCCTTATATGGGGCTGGCGCCCTACTCCTCTGAGCCACAGGTGCCACCCTATTTTTTTTTTTTTTTTATTTTGAGACAGAGTCTCAACTTTGTTGCCCTGGGTAGAATGCAGTGGTATCATAGCTCACAGCAACCTCAAACTCCTGGGTTCCAACAATCTTCTTGCCTTAGCCTCCTGAGTAGCTGCGACTACAGGCACCTGCCGCAATGCCTGGCAACTTTTTCTATTTTTAGTAGAGATGGGTCCCCTTGTTGCTCTGGCTGATCTTGAACTCCTGAGCTCATGCAATCCAACCGCCTTGGCCTCCCCAAGTGTTAGGATTACAAGCCTGAGCCACTGAGCCCAGCCAAAGATAATTTTAATAATTGGAGGGATCCCAGTTTATAGGTTGGTTTTGTGAGTCTGTGTGTTCTGGCCATTCTGGTGTTTCTTATGATATCATTAAGTAGGAAAAGTCAAGAAGCCTGAGTTGCTTCCTAGGCCTTGGAGGTATGTCTTTGACTTAGCATCATGCCAAATGCAGCTTCAGTCTCCTCCTCCACTGAGTGGGCCTGAAGACGCTGTACTTTCTTACCATGGTACGTTGCACTGAGTGTTGGCAGTATTACATGAATGTTTGCAATTTTTTCTTTGGGCAAAAGGCCTCAAAATATTTCCAAAATCTACTGGCTTATGCTGCACAGGCACAGGGACAAAATGCTACACCTGACGAGAAAGAAATGACCTTAGAGTAACTTTTTCCTTTTGTGGTTTAAAACATCTCAAAAGCATCAGACTGATTGTAAGCAATGCACAGTACACAGTACAGAGGGTATAAGA